AGGAAAAAAAAATCAAACAACCACTTCACTTTTTAAACCCAATGTGTAAAATGTACTCAAAATCAGTTTATTATTTTAATGATATTACATTGAGCTGAATTTGGAAGATTTTTTTCTTGGATACGACCCATTTATATTGGGTCGGTGATTAATTATTATTCTTGTTAACCGTGTATAAATACAGTATAAATTTTTGATCAGTGGGGCAACAATTTTAACAAACATAAACAAGGTTTTACCTTTGGAGACATTAGCAGTTGGCTGGAGAAAGAGGAGGATATCAGGAAACCAAACGCATTAGAACACAAACTAACCAAAGTGAAGTGAGGGGGGTAAAGGAGTCATTGCGTGATACGTGATTAAGTGTTTTTAATTTTCGTGAAAGGTGAAAATACGAAATTAAAACCCGTGAACTGTGACTGGTTTGCTTGTCGTGGTACGTGAACTTTAAAATCTTTTACCCGATATTCGTGATTTTCAATTAATTTGTTCGTGAAATAGTCTCAACTGAAGACAAATTCTACAGGGAAGCCAGTGGACCTTCAAATGAACTTTTCTAAAAGGTCTTAAAAAACTCAAAGGCGGGATATTTAAACGAAGTTTAGCCAGTGGTTGACAAAACCGTGTTCTAGGTCATTTTAAATTTTTTCAACGCTTTTATCTTAACCCCGGTTATGGTGAACGTTTCATGGCAGCAACAGGGTAGACTAGGGTCGTATACGTCCCCATATAGCCAATGTATACAATTTTTCCCTGACCCATTTAGTTTTCAGTTGATGTTAATAAATTGGTAAGCATCAACGTCGTCAGCAAAGATAGATCTTGGGATATTCTGACTAAACCTGACAGTTACACTCACAAAAAGGAAAAATTTGGGGGAAAATTCCACTGCCAATTTCGCTGTTTACATACTACTCCTTGAAAATTAAATTTTTCCCTTTCCTAAAAAGTTAGCCAGCCACAATTCCATGAAAAAGAAAGACGATAAAGTGGGCAACAAAACCGCCAATAAAGAAGGAAAAAAAGAGAGCGGGAGAGAAAGATCGAAATGGATTCGCCAAAAAAAGTCCAAATTTTGGCTTTTGCGCATGTGTGAAAAACAAAAAAGCTGTTTAATTACGTCAGATTAGTTGGAAAATGTCTTTTTTCTCGAAAAACTCGTTTTTCGTCATAGTTAAGCTAATTAGCCGAAAACTAGTCTAAGGAAGAGGAATTGGTGGAAAATGCTGCTTTTTCGCTACTCGCCGGCCGTCACCAAAGGGTTAAATTAACCCACTTAGACAGAGATCTGGATGCCCAATTATTTTTTAAACCACGGCCTTAGCTGAGCTTTGTTTTAAATAACCGGCCCTTACAGTCGTTCCTATTATATAGGTCGTCCTTAACTATGACCAAGCCTTCGAGGGCAGACAACTTTTTTGGCTCCTGTTTCACCCTCCGAGAAAAGGGCGTCTGCGATTCCGAGCTGGGAAGCGATTTCCGTGAGCTGATGAGTCAGTTTTTTTTTCAAGCAATCATAATTCTTTTCGTGGAGCTAACACATGTGGGGTTTGCGTTGGAATCTTGGTTGCAATGGCCGGCAATTTTTAAATTAGAGGGAAAAGTTTTTAAATTGGAAGGAGTAATATATTATGTAGATCCTAAATCTGTGGGATCCATGGGTTTTCTTGGAGGTAAAGAACGAATTCGAATACCCATAAACAGTAAACATTCATCCCTTGAAGCTCTTAAGCGTCTCATCATTAAGTAGACTGGTTTGAAATCTTAGTCCGAAAAGCGTGGTCGAATAAGGTCCTCGATTGAAATAAAACTCTAGATCTGTCGGTTACAAAAGTCTGCAGAATGAAGCAAAGCTTCTGCGGTAAACAACGACGACAACGAGGATGAAATGAGTTTTCTACGAGCAGTTACTATACTCGTAGCAGAAGAACCGTCAAACTCAACTTTGAGACAAGGGAGAGTCAAATGACGTTCGTTTTGAGTACTATATATCCGTCAGCATTAGTCGTCATTCTCTGTATTAGTTGTGCGGGGGGAACAAGAAGCGAAAGACAGCGGCATCCTGAACAGGTCGAGCCATGCACTGACTGTCCTTTTACTTCGGAAATTTCCGTGAAACGTGTACACGAATTTTAATCCCCGTGATGTGTTATTTCTACTTTTTAATTTTCGTGATCCGTGCGTAGGATCCCCCCTTTACCCCCCTCTGAAGTGCCCCACTACATGTTCATACTATTAAAAACCTTGAAAAGAACTTCTGTTGATCATTGGCAGTTGCAAATGTCGACTAATTCGCATCTTTGTCATGAATTAATTTCTTTATAGTCAAAAGTAAGGTAAAATGAAGATAACTCAAGGATTACAGCTAGCTTGAATTACTTCGATGGTCTAACATACTAAGATGGGTTGACACACTTCAGTTCACAAATGAGTCGGTGACAGTAAAAAATGGCAGGTTAGGCTTGCTCTTGTTCAGAGACTGAGCAACTGCAGGAGATGGTTTTTCATACACTCCATGCACCAGAGCAAGACTAAATTAAACTATTTAGATTCAGCACTAAATTTTGTTCGCCTAGATTTGTAGTCAATAGCTGGATAGTGGAAGAAACATGAGAAACCTCAGTGAATTTTTTTTGTGTGTGTTCTTACAGTTCTTATAGTGAAACCTAGCGCAACAAAGAGAGAGGAATAACAGAAATTAATAGTCGATAATCCAAGGAAAAATAAAGATAAATATCAAAATGCTCCTTTAATGCTGACACTAATATGAGATGCCCGGCTGATCACATTTTGATAAGCCGTCGTTCATTTCTGTTTACGCTTGAACATGTAAACATTCCAATGAAAGAACTGTTCTGCTTCGAACGTGCATCTTCTTTTGTTCATAACAAAAAATACGAGAAAAATTACAAAACTATAAACGAGAACTGAGTAAAGCATGAGATAATCTACCTTCACTCTAAATGGGAACCTTAAATATTCAGAGTCCACCATAAAAATCGCCGAAATGTGAGGATGTTTATAAAATCCTTTTGCAAACGATACTAATTTAGCAGAGACGCTTCGTTCGTGCGTCTTCTTTTGTTCATAGCAAAAAATATAGGAAAAATTACAAAACTATAAACGAGAATTGAATAAAGTATGAAATAATCTACCTTCACCCTAATTGGGAACCTTAAATATTCAGAATCCACCTTAAAAATCGCCAAAATGTGAGGGTGTTTTGAAAATCCTTTTGTAAACGATACTAGTTTAGTTCCCAGACCTCACCCGTCTCTGCACATGCGCAGACGTTATTCAGCTCTGTCGGTGGGGAGCTAGAACAAAGATTTCGGCGCTGTTTCGCAGACGGACTTAACTGTAGATTTGTTTCGTCTGTGGCGCAGGCTATTGCGGGTTTTCAGTGTCCCGCCATTCAAAATAGATCAAAATAAAAATCAAAACCTTTTCAATAGATAAAGTCCAGAATCTAGGAATGAAAGGAGGCACATAAAGAAAGACCCTCGCCAAGATTCAGGTCGGAGAAATATTTCGTATACGAGAAATCCGAAGAAATGTTTTACCCAAACTTATAGAGATTTGTATGGAGATGCCATGCTGGTACTCACCTTGATGAGCTCCAACATGGCGGACGGAAACCAACAGAAACATCTGTTACCGAGTTTTGCTACAAAAACGTGAATTTATTCTTCGAGAAACTCATAAACATTAATTAATTCAAGCGTACTCTATCACAAAACCAAAAACCCTTTTGAAGAGAAAATTTGTATGAAAATTAGTTTTCAGCTGCTCTAATGCATCGTGAAAGTAAAATCTCGGTAGGATCGATAGTTTTTTAACCTGAATTTTAGTGACGTCATGTGAAAACCAACAATATTTGCACACATTTTTAGTTCTGGACTATTAGGAAGCACGAGCTAATGTCTGAATAATCTAAATGAAATAAGGTCCTCGTGGTTCTTGATGGTACTAATCATCCCATCCAAAGGTACTTAAAATTGAAATCACATAAAACACCAGGAATGACGCCGCAAGTCAGTCTCTGGGCGAATGCAGTAACAGTAACGTATCTGAGAAAGAGGTGACAAACGTCGGAGCCCCCCTCCTTCTATAACTTTTAAACCGCTTTTGATAGGATCATTAGAATTACACGGAATGGTTTATTCATCATTTGCAACGTCTTAGTAAATTCTAATTGACCCAATGACGTTATTTGATGTCATCATGACGTCGAAATGTTGAATACAACACGCATAAGTACATAGTATGTAGAGTAGCTTCGTTTCCATGGGCAACGAAACGTCATGAGACTCAAGATTAACCTTTGTTTGCTTATTTATATAAAGTATGTAGCACTTTAACTAATTCAAGGTAGAGGCGAATAACCAGAAGTTGTTGGAATTACGAAGAACGGCTTTGGGAGAACAAAGGAAACTGCAAGAGATTCACGGAGAGAAGGTAAAAAGAGAAAATAATCAAACCATACTGTTTGAGAGGTTGAAGAACTAAACTTGATGTAAAATATGCTGTGGCGTACCTACTTGTAAGCCACTACGCATTAGCGTACCTGAAATGTCGAAGATAAACGAAAACAGACAAAAGAATAAAAAGAGAAAGGGAAGTGAATATAAGGCAGATCAGAGATAAAATTGTGGAAATGCCCACGTAACTCCGCTTCAACTTTTGACCGATAATTTTTAACCCGTGGATACCAGAAGGGTATCTAAGGGGTTTTGGGAATGAGACGTTGGGTTTCGATATAGGTCACTCGCACACTTAACGTTGATAGAGTTCGGATCTTCGGCTCTGCTCTTATATTACCGCCCGATATTAAAACTACAGTGTTTGTTTTTGCCAAAGGGCGCCTGAATTGTACAATCACTCACGCATCCTCTTGAGAGAACCCTGGGAACGACGTTGTCAGTCTCAAGTTTGCTGCGATTTTTATCAACGCTGCATTTTATGGAGTGCCTAAGAAAATTAATAAGCGTAGAAAACTTAATGAAAAACATAAGCACTGCCTGGGAAGGGACAACAGCCTTGCTAGTCTGTTCCTCGCGAACAAATTTAAGGTATTCTTTAACGTGAGGGTGTGCTACGGGGTTAGAATGATGCGAACGGCCAATATTGTTGAAAACAGCCCTAAATTTCTCCAACAAAGAATCTACCGTGCGCCAGCCAAAGGCGTTGGGCAATTGCAACTAGCCTTAGGGAATAGCTGACTATGCACCACAGTCCTTTCCGAGCTATCCTTACTTATCAAAAACTTTATAACATCATCTGAAGTGCAAGAAGAAATGCACTTCGGGGGAGACAAAGAAACCAGGAAATCAGAAAACTGCTGTTCAAGAGCAGACCGCTGCCGCTGATAGGGCTTGGCTCTGAGGGCATCAGAAAATTCTTGGAAACGTCTGGATATCCGTGTATGGTTCAGGACTTTACCTGGCACACCAGACTGTTTAAGCGACACTCGAGAGCCACAAGCTTGACAAAAGTTAGCGTCATAGTCGTTTGGGTATAAACATGCCGGGCATCGCTGAGCAGCCTTCCAGGGCCTTGAAACCTAGAAAAAAAAATAATAAAAGACGCCTTCTAAGAAATGCACCGGAAAGCCCAGAAGCCATTCACGTGAGTTTCGGGTAGGAAAAAGCAACCCGTAGGTAGATCCCTTCTTGCCAAGCAGCAAACGGTCAACAACGAAAGCCTAAAGAGTCGTACACCAGAACGGCCTCGGTCGCAGGTCCGGCACGACAAATGTGAAGGCACCATGAAAATCTTGATCGAAAATGTAACGCAGAAGTGGACCAAGGAGTACAAACGGCGGAAACGCATAAATTTTAAGCCCAGCAGGCAGAGGATTAGCAAAAACGTTTACCCCGTCAGACCCAGGGGTAGGCCAAGGCGCGTAATGAGGCAGGGGATTCCCACGAAAGTTCCTTTGGCAGTTACTATTCAAGGCCAATAAATCAAACGAGTGGGGGCCGAAGAAACGCTCCACGAGCGACCAAGACTGAGGGCTAAGCGTACAGTCCAGATCTGAACATCTCCGTGAGGGTTCGTCAGCAGGGTTTTGTTCCGACGGTACATAGAAGGTGTGGATGCTGAAGTTGCAGTCACGACTGTGGCACAAAATCTCTTTAATGATGAGTTTTTACAACCGTCGTCGTCTAGCGCAGACTTGAGGACCTGATTGTCAATGTGGAGATCAACCTGCGATTTTGATGAGCGATCCTTAAACGAAACCGTTTAACAATGCTTTTGACTCCAGCAGATTCACATCTTTGGATGATTCGGAGGGCCAGTAATACCTCGAAACAAACTTCTGGCCATCTTGAACGAGGACAGCACCCCAGGCGCGCGTGGAGTCATCAGAACAGAGGGAAAACGAGCTATGACGCTCAGAGCGCCTAGGCAAGCAGCCCATCCATTCGTCTAAAAAGCGCAGAAGAACTCTGCGCGTAAGCTTCCCTCAACTCGAGCAAATTGCTTCGAGGAACGTGAGAGCTACGAAATCGCTTTGAATGTTTCACGTATGTATGACTTACAACTGGGGATGGCCAAACTAAACGAAATTACTTTCCCCGCAAATCTCTGAAGGGTTTTGACACCGCCACGCGTGGGGGACAAAATCCTCTCCCTCAAAGTCTTAAACTTAAGCTTCTTATCATGCGGCAGAAGGAAGGCTTGACGAAAAGAATCGCAGGGAAGACCAAGGAAACGAACCACCGTGGAAGGATACGACTACGATTTCCAGATGCCAATAAAATAACCGGTCTCTTTAAGTAGGTAGCACATGATATACGCAGCCGCTTCAGCCAGCAATCCGGCTAGGAGGTAGACTGGATTCGGCAGGGGAACAGAACAACTGACCAACATGACGGTCGTCTATATATTGGGACATAGGAACCCCATGTGAGCCAGCTGCACTTGTGCCGGCGAGACCCAAATTGTGATAGATGTAACCGCTGGCCTTCCATCCGAAAGGAAGAGAGCAAAACACGAAAAATATGCATAATTCCATTGAAAGCCAAAGTAGGTACGCGCGGAAGGGTGAAGAAGCACATGTTGGTAGCCAGTCATCGTTGAAAGACGTTTGGAAATGACCAGGAAGAACGTACCTGGGAAGGTCCTGAAGATTGTCCAGCTTAAAGGGAAGATCCCTTTTCCACAAATTCAAGAATCTTTCGTCATGACAGAGGTGGGGTTTTGAAGGTTCCACAGTGAGGGGAAGGACTAAATGCGGGGAAATGACTTCTCCAACTCTGCCCCAGACCGCAAGTACACCAGCGGAGACCCAGTCGACTATGGTGTCGGAGATAAAGTTTTGAAACTGCTTACAATTACGGGCGACATGACCCCATTCAAAACATCTTGGACGGCTGGGGTAAGGAGCCTGTCTGAGCGCAGCACGGCTATAGCCAGGGGGCGGAGAAGAATCTTCAGTAACGCCCTTCAAAATGGTGGAAGCTTCCTTGGCGATCTTGGTGCGCACAGGATCACCTAACAACCAGAGAAAAAGGCGCTGTAGCCGTGGGACATCCAGAGAATCCATTCTTGCTCTAATCTCGTCTTGCGCAGCCGCATACTCCTCAGCTTTTTGGTGCCCTTCACTTCTGGCAAGCCACACGAGGGAGTTTATCAGGTCGATAGCCTCAAACTTATCAAACATTGCTGCCGGCCGACTTATCTGCCTACGCAAGGCTGCAAGGGCTGACTCCGAGCATTTTGATGTTTTAAATATCTCCAATGACAAGATCTTGTCCTCCAGCGCCTTAATACGGGCAGCAGGGTAAACAGGACAAGACCAGTCCCAAATAAGACGGCATGACAACATAACTGAGCATACACATGAAAAAACTACATCCCAAGCTCTTTGCGAATACCCGAGTAAACCTGAGCGTATCACCCTGTAAACCACCCCAATTTCCAGAGGGATGTAAAAACACACGAAAGAGCAACGCCTCCAGGTAGTAATTTGTAATGATCCCACGCAGCAGTTATGCTTCACTTAGGACGCTAACTGAAACCCAAAACCGGGTCGCCTTAGTTAGGTAAACAAAGGGAAAAAACTACGCTCGTAAACATTCTTAATAAAGGGAAACTTAACGCCGGACCACGCGAATGACGAAAAAACGTGTTCCATAAATTATATCCGACCCACGGGCGGCATTCCGCGATAATTCCCGCAACGGCAAGTTGCTTTCACCAGCGGTACACTTAAAACTAGGGGTACCTTCCGGTAAGTGCCAACGAGGCGAATTCGTTTATCTTTTGTGGGATGGGCCTATTCAGATCTTCGCGATATTTATTTTCGTAATTTTAGAGGTTCCACTATAGAAAAGGATGGCACCCAACTTCAAAACAACAACTTTGGCACACTCTAGGCTTTCAACATAGCTTGAAGCTTTATTGGTAAATATGAGCAAGTTAGCACTTATGGTTCATGGAAAATTCCATTGTATTGAAACTATAAACGTTAGAAAGAAAAGTGTGGTTTAAATGAGGCCTTTGACGGCTGAAATTAAAAATAAAAATTAAATTCCGAGCAACAGCGTCATCAGGGTTAAGAAAAATATTTCGCGTGGTAATGTACGTAAGAAAAAGTTGATGTAAAGTAAAATATGTGAAAAGCGCAAGAATGAGGCGGAATGTATAAATGAGGTATAAAAATATAAATTTAAATCAGTAAAATACAAAGATCTAATGAGCGAGTGTCACAGGACAAAGATTCTCTTGAAAGGCATAATTATAGTCTTCAAAACAAAAGGTCCGCAAATTCGTTGCGTTCCTCACGGGAGTTTTTGGCTGTCTCAATGTAAATTAAAAAAAACATGCTGGTTGGCAAAATATAAAAACATGAATAAATTCTAAAAAAAGTTCCGCAAATACGTTGAGGACTGGCTCAATGTAAATCTACCTGCGAAGGACACGCTGGTTCTGATATAAGTTTTGAGAATATAACCCTACGCCTTGATCAACTACCACTTAAAATTCAATTCACAAAGGAAAAGGGAACACGCAAAACCCTGGTTTTGAGTCGAGAAGCGAACACGCCACCTGATTGTAAATCGAGCTGCAAAGAATAAGCTGGTTCTGACAAAAATTTGAGCGTAAAACCCTATTCCTCGATTAGCTGCTGCTTTAAACACAATTTATAAAGCAAACCAGAGCACTAATTGCCCTTTCAGACTAGAAATCGTATTAGAGCTTGCTCACCTGTTAGTTCCTCTTGAACAGACAACGAACAGCTGCACACTGAATCACCCAATTTCGGACCACGAGTTGTAAATACAAGACCATGACGTCTTACTTACACCCAAACATGGTCAAAAATGCAAATTTTAGAGGGTTACGCAGAATTTGAGAGTTTTTGCCTACATCGTGCGGGATTATAAATCTGCCGCCGAGGTAACCTCGCTTCTTAGCTCGGTTGCCTCGTTGGCAATAATAACAACAACAACAAACAAAAAATACAAGAGACGGATCCACCTTGCGCGCCACGAAATCGCTGAGCACGTAAACGAAAATAAAAATATATATATTATTGTATCACTCCACCGGAGGAATTGGCAAAGTAATATTACACACAGCGGCAAGTGGTATTGACCAGTGGCACGACAACTAACAAAACGCTGGAAACGGGTCCTCTCCTTTCAAGATGAAACTTCACACGCTTGTGGCATGCCATAATCGTTCTATGCAACGTTAAGTTGCCTTCAGCAGCGGAGCATTCAACTAAGAAATAAGATTGGAAATATTCGGCCTTGTAGAAAAATGGTCTAGTTACGCGAACAACCCTTTTTTTTTCAAACTACTTCATTTTCCTCACTGGTAGCATCCCAAAACTGCAGAAAGAAACTACCCTCACCAGCGGTACGTTCAAGATGTGTCCGTATTTCCAAGAACGAAAGCGGAATCATACAAACAAAGAAACATAGTTTGCCGTAATTCATTGACATATTTTTACAATCGTAACACGCAACAACAGGCGTTACCAGATACACAACTGTAGAGAACCAATCCGGACCCGACTCGCCTTTACTGAATGAAACTCTTTGAACAGTGGCATCCCTTCACTGATTCCACGCAACAATAAATCGCCTTCACTGATAATAAATCAAGGCAATAATAAACGCTTCAAATAAAGAAAACACTAAACTATATAGCCCCAAGACAAAGGCGCCGCCTCAATAAACAAGAAACGATGCTTAAACAGCCCGCCACGAAACTAACAGTTACGTGATAGAAAAGCATGAAAATAAAAACATAATGGGTGACAAAAGCGAGTGATAAACAAAAAGGCAAGCGCAAAAATAAAACTCAACTGGGCAAAAAGGCATGAACAAGCGATAAGCCTAGAAGTAAAATAAAAATAGCCCCAACATGTAAAGCGAAGAGGTGTCAGCATGCCAACTACGCTACCACAAATTTTAAAACGAAACTCAAGAATGCAGGGAACTGAAAATAAACTAACCCCAAAACAGAAGAAACAACGCAAAACCGAAAAGCTGATCTAGAGAGCGCTGTAACGAAAACCGGCAAAGGGAAGACAAATATAGAATTACCTCTCCGAGAGCGTCCGGAGACGGAACTTGCTCTGGTTCCACTTTCGCTTCTGGTGGATTAGGCGGTAGTTCTGCGTTTTCCGGGGCTGGTGGTAAAGCGGCTGGAACTGGCGCTGGAGGTGGCGGAGGAGGAAGAACATGGTCAGCCATGGAAAGCTGGTGGCGGTTGAATAACGAGCGTCGCGTAAGGCAAACGAGAGACCGGAGAACCTACCCTTGAAATGGCCACGATTTGAATGAAACCGCCCAATTTATTTTATTTCTATTTTATTTATTTATTCTTTTTATTTTTTTTTAATCCTCTCTCTGGGGTCCTGATCCCCAGGTAGGCTTTGGTAGATTGTGCTAGCATAAAATTAAGCATAATTCAGCAAAACGAGCATTATTTTAAGCTTTTATTTCAGTTTAGCACTGCTAGCATAATCCGAGCTTTTATGCGTTGAAAACAAAAAAAAACCATCACAGGTCTAGAGTAATTCAGTTTGTATTTTATTTCTGTATTGTTTTTGGAAAATACTGAGGTCTGTGCTAAGGCCCATGGTCAAACATGGTCCAGCCGGCGGCAGAGGTCAACATGTGCATATCTGAGAGACTGAGACTCTCCTCAGGCCACCCCGCTTATGGCTCGGCGGCTCGGCCCCTCAGGCCTCAGATCAAAGATGGCGTCGTCCTCGAGTACATCCACTTCCACCACTTCCACCACTTCCAGTGCTGTACCGAGCTCTAAAACAAGTGTGCGGGCTATAACTTTCTGACCCCGATTCAGAGCCCAGAACGGTTGATTTTGGTATCATTTGTTAATCATTTGGCTTTTCGAGGTGCGCACATGCGTATTTGCGATGCTAAAGACTGTAAGACCGGAAGGTGGACTATATGAATGTTCATTAAAGTCAAAATTGATAGAGTTAAGCTACTGATGATCTTTATTTTCCTTAAAATCAGGGTAAAATCTAAGTAGCATAATTTCGGTGACAGAGAGCATAATTTTCAGAAAGTAGCATAATTTTGGCATAATTTCTAAAAAATATGAGCACTGCTAAAAGCATAATATGCTTTTTTTTCGAGCACAATCTACCAAAGCCTATCCCCAGGCCCTGAGAGGTGGTACTCCTCTCCCTCCTCTCCATGAGTCCATTAAGTCCCCAGGCTACAAAGAGGTCCTAATCCTCTCTCTGGGATCCTAATTCCCAGGCCCCCTGGAAACAACCACAACAAGAAAGGTTAGCTTCTTGTTACCATGGTAACAAGGCTGTCTGGGGGGCCCATTCTGCCACAATAGCTGACCATGTGACTTTATGGGGCAAAGGGGCGACCTGTAAGGAGCACTTCATCCCCTTCCCACGGTTTATTTACTTAAAAAGACAAACAATGAAAAATGTTGTTCTAGCCCTGTTGAACTAACCGATCAGTCGTCATAGGCTGTTGCAGCTAAAAGCAAAGAACAAAATGTTTGGATTAACTGATGCTACATATATAAGATTGAGTTGATAACATTGTACTCAGAAAATTACGCTGCTCACAGAGAGCCAAACAATAACGGTAACAATAAATTATAAGAATGTCTCAATGAGCAAACGTACCGCTCAAGTCCAACAGCACTGGGCTGGATAATTATAGCCTTTGTAACAATAAAGATATGGGCTCTCAACATAGCAGTAATTAGTTGATAAAATTATACTAAGAAAATCTATGTCACACTGGGTCGAATGTTTTTGAAAAATCAATTGCGATCACCCCTAGATCCTTTTTCAAGTCTAGGGTAAAGAGACAGTCTTCCCTTAGGTATTTGAGTAACGTAGTACAGCACAGGTAGTCAGGAAGAAAATCGGACGTACATGTATTGTTTCAAAACAAAGGTGGAAAGATCGGATTCAGCAAGTCAATTTTCAGCTTTTCGAAGACTTTAGGGATTGCTGACAGAACGCTAACCGGGCGATATTTAGATTTGGAACTGTCTCTTTCCCTTTCCTGAAAAGTCGAGCTTCAGCTCAGTTATCATTTTATAACTCAAGCTCAATTTCCTTTATTGCCAAAATACTTGGGTGGTTTGTAGTCCGTCACAAAGGAGCTCTGGTCCGTATATCGATTAGATTGGTAGCAACTA